TGATTTAAAGGCTTCAATTTACAGAGAATTCACAATTTACTCTAGTTCAAACCAGCAAGTGACCTGTGCCCTATGCTGCAGAGGAACCCCCCGTAGTCTCTGCCAATCTGACCAGGGAAAATTCCTTCCCAACCCCGGATATGGTGATCAGTTAGACCCTGAGCATGTGGGCAAGACCCACCAGCCAGACACTTGGGGAAAAAATTCTCTGTAGTAACTCAGAGCCCTCCCCATCTAGTGTCCCATCTCCAGCTGTTGGTGATACTTGCTAATAGCAGATATGGATGGGCCATATGCAAGTGTAGGCCCTCCATAAATTTATCAAGTCCAGTCTTGAAACAAGTTCGTTGTTTGTTTTTGTTTTCTGTTTTTGTCCCCACTACCCTCTAGGGATGCTGTTCCAGAACATCACTCCTATGATGGTTAGAACCCTTTGTCGAATTTCAAGCCTAAATTTATTAATGGCCAGTTTATAGCCATATGTTCTTGTGCCAAACTGGTCCTTAACTTAACTTTCCTGTGTCTTTCCAATGATTACAATCCACTCATATCTCTGGCAGGATAGCCAGTGCTCCAGTGACTTCAGTGGGATTACGCCTAGTGTTAAGTACTATGATTTGTGAATAAGGGCATCAGTTCCTGATAAACAGCCTTACTCACTTCTTAGCACTCTGCTTGTGAATAGATCTGAACATACCAAAGGCTGGCTCTGAACATCACTTGTGCTCTGAGGCCTAGAAAGCCACTCACTCATTCTGGAGAGCATTTACTCCCACTAACGTCAATAGTGTTACTCATGGGAGTAAATGCTCACTCTTTATTTTCCCCCTTTTGGTGTTTTTCTTTGGCAAAGAGAGATGCCTGATCACCCTTGCAAGAATTCTCTCATGCTGGAATTCACCAGATCGGTTCTTGCTATGTTATTGCTAAACTCCTCTCTTCTGCATCCCAAGGTTTAGCTGAGCAGCACTCAATATTAATCTAGCTAACATCAGGGATATCTTCTTTTAAATCATGGAATCCATAACTCCCATGACAGATTAAAAGCAAGCACCTTCCAGGCCCATTCCTGCTGCCATTGGAATCAATTACCATAAATATAATTTGTATTATTTGGGAGAAAGCTGGTGACTCAAAGAATTGCCATGCGGGCCTGAATATTGTGGGTGGTTCATTTCAGAACCACAGAAGTCAGAGTTGGGGAAAAAGGTCTAATAAATCTAATAAATAAATCATATAATCCATCCACCCCACCCCAGCCACCACAGGGTTATGCCCTTTTACACCACATTATACAATTCTTCTCCCTTCAGATGCCTGAACATGGTTAGTAGGGATAGTCTTTAGTTGCCATTTGACTGTGTTATCTTGATTGGCTTCTGTTTACACTGGCTGGATTGATTACACTTTACTAAATAATGACAGGTTTCAGAGTAGCAGCCGTGTTAGTCTGTATTCACAAAAAGAAAAGGAGTACTTGTGGCACCTTAGAGACTAACAAATTTATTTGAGCATAAGCATCCGAATGCATCCGATGAAGTGAGCTGTAGCTCACGAAAGCTTATGCTCAAATAAATTTGTTAGTCTCTAAGATGCCACAAGTACTCCTTCACTTTACTAAATAGTCTTCAGCTCTCTCTCCCTTTGGCTAAGGGCTGCCCAAGGGCTATGACTCATGACCACTGATGAAATATAAGTGGCCCTTGAAAACCACAAACACATCCACGGTGATTGGTAACAGTTTCTAGTAGAAAAGGAAATGACTTTTTAAAGAGCAAAGGCCATGTAAAGGGAAGATTAGAAATAGCTGGCTAATCACCTCTACACAGAGCAAAAGCCCCTTTCTATTTTATTCTATTCTATATAGGTTCTTGTACTGTGCACATCACTGTAGTATTTGGGCATTTCCAGTCATGCATTAAGTAATGTGACTAACATCTCCTCTGTTAAGAGATCTGTGCCCTGGAATGACTGACAGTACAACAGCCGATTAATTCAGAAGCTAATTTCAGGAACAATAGGAACAGATCAGGCTGCCATCAGTTTGCCCCTCTCAGACTCTGTACTGTAGTCACTTGGGGGAAGGGGGTAGAGGGTACAACCTCTGATTATTAGTATTACTTATTATTCTTTATATTACCATAGTGCCTTGGAGGTCCTCCCAACTGAGATTGTGCTAGGTGGTGTACAAACACAGAGTGAGAGACATTTCCTGCCCTGCAGCACTTAAAGTTGAAACAGACAAGGAAGATAAAGAGTGCTGTCCAAAGTCACCGAGAAGTCCATGGTAGAGGCAGCAACAAATCCAGATCTCCTCCATCCGAACCCAGTGCCTTAATCGCAACCCCATCTTTCATCTCTCAGTCGTAACTGCCACCCAACTACAGGGCTCCTGCCGGACTCTAAGACAGCTGAGCTATACAGCTGGGGTCGATCTGTAAACCAAGGTCATTGTGGGAACTGTGATGGAAGAAGCTGATGCTGATTGAAAATAGCAGTCCAGTCAACAGATATTGCTTGGTTGACTGTATCCTGGAAAGCAGTGGCTCGGGAAAGGAGTTGGGGTAACGGTAGATAACCAGCTGACCATACACTACCAGTGCATTGCTATGGCTAAGAGGTCTATGGTGACTGATGGATGCATAAGCAAGAGACTATCAAGTAGGAGTTGGGAGCTGATATTACCTCTATATACAGGGCTGGCGAGATTGTTTCTGAATCTCTTCTGATTTGCCAACATCCTTTCTGAAGTGCGGACACCAGAACTGGACACAGTGTTCCAGTAACCATCTACAAGAGTGATGCAAGGTCTGGAAGTCCGCTGTACCCTGAGGGACACAAGAGGCACAAGCTATTTGTTTCCAAAGAGATAGTTAAGAGGTGACTTGATCATGGTCTGGAAGTACCTGCATTGGGAGATGATTTCTAATCATACAGGGATCTTTAATTTTGCAGACAAAGGCCTAACAAGAGCCAGTGGTTGGAATCTGGAGGTAGCTAAAGATTGGATGTGTCTTTTCTACAAAATATACTCTAGCTCAATCGCAAGAACGGGGCTTGGTGCCGGAATTACTGAGTGACATTCTCTGGCCTGTGCAATGCGGGAGGTTAGATTAGAGGACCCTTTGGGTCTTAAAGTTTATGAATCTATGAATTATTTGGGCACAAATTCACATACAGGCCTGTGCACGTTTGTTGATGCCTAGTTCACACAAATCCGCCCGTGTGTGCAGGCTGCAGCTGTGCCCACAAATATTGGTAGGAAACTTTGGTTTGCACACACTTGGGGAGCCAAGTTGGTGAAAAAGCGTGTCTCCCCCCAAGGTGTGGCCCTGTCTGAAAACATACAGCAGAATGTATATTCTCCCCAGCATTGCTCCACCCAGGACCATTCATCTCTAATCCCCCCTTTCCCCCAACAAAGTGAAATGCAAGCCAACAGGTGACAGAGGAATGTTTTATTATTTCTCAGTAATGGAAACACATTCTCACTTGGCCCAAGAACTGAGGAAGGAGACAAGATGAGATATGGTGCTCAGGTGGCTACTAGGCTGGCAGCAGACTCCAGGCATAGTGCAACTGGTACAGTATCTGTGAGGTGAAAGAACGAGGGAAGCCATGATGCCCCTCTGCCCTGACCCTCAGCAGCCTCTGCTATAAATCCTGAGAGCTGAGGAGTGCAGCAGCCTCCCTGGGGGTTCCACTGGGGCACTTGTCTGGACAGCAGGAGGACTGAAGGGGGTTCTGAGAGTAGGAGACTCCTCACAGCTCAACGAGGCATGAAGGTCTCCCCTCTCAGGTAACAAATGAAAGGTCTCCCTGGGGACTGAATGACTGTCTAGCTAGCTGGCTGGCAGAGGTTAGAGCAGCTGAACCTGCCAGAGACTTGTGCAGGAGAAAGGTCCTCCTGCTTTGCTAGTGTATGTACTGGCCTAGTGCTTACTAGTCAGTGTCACTGGTAGGACAAAGGTGGTGAGAACTGCATTGTAAACCCAAGCTGAATAAACTGACTCTTCTACACATGAACCTGCCCTGAGGATTTGGATTTGGTTAGCACCCTGTAGTGGCTGGGAGCTTTAGCAGTTCATAGAGCCATATGGCCTTTCATGATGGGAAGAGGGACAGAAAGCCTCACCTGGAGGGAGGAAGGTTTGCAAGAGATGGTCAGTGGAGGTGAGGATTGACTGAGGCTGAGTCAGTTCTACATTCACTGCAGTGCCTGTGTGCAGCATATGCAACACATCCCATACAAAAGCAATGGTAGGCAGATGTTATGGTTGCACAGCTAAGCACTCCAGTCAGTTGTATAAGCAACCATAACTCTACCCCCTAACCCACCTGTATTACAATGCCTCCTCTAATTAAAAGTTCACATACTATTTCTCAGGTGATGCAATATATCCTATGTTTTTTTCTACAAACCTAGTTACATGTTACCTACTCATAATATTTGCATCATTTTTTTTTATATTTACACTACCTATTTGTCATTCCAAGTCCCCTAAAATGTAGCAAAGCTTTTCAATGCCATTTAATGATTTGGAGGCCCTGTTCCCAGTACACTTATTGGGAAATCTGGTCCAGCTCCATCAGGCAGCTTTGAAAACCCAGCCTCTATCTTTATTGACGTAGGGGTTTTACAAGGTGTAGTCCTTTCTTCCTACAGAATGTATTTTAGTAGTTTTGTCAGCATCTATATACTATCTTTTCAACCAGCAACCCAAACTTCCATTCAGGGGATGAAATTAACTTAGCTGCAAATTTAATTAGCATATATAGATATATATACACACACACACACCCTAGTTCATTTTTACTTTTGCTCCATATTGCTATATTTACATTGGGTAAGTTCCATCTAGTATATACTTTTCATGCAAATGAATTACACGAACTCTTTTGTCTGGCATACACAAAGCACTAGAAGATGTTACAAATGTGTATCTAAAGTTGAAGAAAATGTGTATGATATGCAGTATTATTTGAGAAATAGTATGAGATCAGATGTTTAAAGACTTTATTGTTATAGGTATACATGCAAGAGAGCTGGGTTCAGGTTATGCATGCAACACTAACTGTGGCATTCCCTGATATATCAGTGATTAGCCATAGAGTCTTAACATTCTCTTAACAGTTGTTGCTTAAATTGAATTTCCTGGGGCTGTTTTTTTTTTTTTGTTTTTTTTTTTTAATTAAGATGAAAGATGGGGGAGAAGGCGCTCCACTTGCCAGGACTTCAAAGTTCTCCTGGCTTGCAACTAAGGCAATAGCATGTGTTCATTCCATAGCTGGAAATATTTGACTAGACTCCACAAGAATGCCCTGCCCTGCTTGACACCTTAGGAAATCTGCAGGAGCACAGGCGCCAACTTTTCCTGGTGCCGGTGGGTGCTCGCACACCCCCAGGCCCGCCCCGACTCCACCCCTGCCCTGCCCCCATTCCAACACCTTGCACAAACACTGCCAGCATTTTAATTTCTCTCTTTCTTTTTTAAAAGCCATTCCTAACGGTCTCTCACTGGTCCATTCCAGCCTTCTTCTCTCACTTCCAAACACTCGTATTTTTTCATTTCCTGAGTCTTTCAGAGCACATTTATCTGGATCACCGCAGGGGATGCGTTGCCTGCCATCTCTTCATCTTTTCCTTCACAACGAGGCAAAGATTGCGTGCTGGGTCCCTGGAGTCTTCAACTTGCCCAGGTGGCTTCAAGACAAACCAGGTCCCTTCTTGATTGAAGTGACTGTTTTCAGCAAATGTACACAGAATTTCAATTATATACAAATATTATCAAATAAATAGAGAATCCAGGATTCCTCTGACTCTGAGGCAAGCATTGGTAATTTTCAGTGGGGTCCTCTTCATTCTTCTTGAGGGCACTGTACATTTCTCCCATTTCAGCTAACAAATAAGCTGTGGTGAGCCCCAAAGAGAGGAACAGGACATGTGCTGTATAAAGACCATTTGCACATTGGCTTGTTTGCACTAGCCATGAGAACTCTCTCACTCAGACATACCACAAGCCCCTGAGAGGTGAGGCCAGGGTAGGTTTTTTTGCACATGTACAGCCTATTGGACATAACCCTCCCATGAGTTTAGGTGCTGGGTTCCAATTCCCAGTTTTATTTGATCGCAGGGGCATTACTTTACATTTTATCCATGTCGTCTACGCAGTATGAGCGAGGAGTCAGTAAGAAGAGGCCCAGTGTCAAATCTTTGTAGTTGGCATCTATGTAGGCCTCCAAGTAGACTTCATCCTTATACCGCATCTCGGACACTGTCACCGAATCTACTACCTCCTCTGTGACCTTCACACGCAAGATGGACTCCTGGGACCGCTTGTACACCTTAAGGCTCAGTGAGACATTCTTCTGGCCCATTACCTTGATAGCTCCCTTCAGGGAGACCAGGTAGAAGCCATCACAGTAGATCGGGATGGAGAGGTTACTGACGTTCATGGTGCCCCGATTCCAAGAGATATTGATGCGTTTCTCCTTGGGGACGTAATCTGGAGTGGAAGAAGCAAACAGAAACCCATGAAGATATGAGTCCTTCAAACCCTCTTGGAAGAGGATGATTTTATGTGTCTTGAGCATAGGAAGAAACAAAGAGAGTGGAGAAATCTCAAAGGAAAGAGGGAGAACTAGAAATGGGGTGGAATGAAGAGAGATGCAGAGAGGGAGGAAGGTCTAGGGCAGAGGCCCCCCCGTTTTGCTCTGTGGCACACAGACTGCTGGTTCAGCACTGGCTCTTCTTGTTTCCACATGAGAGGAACAGAACTGATGAAGGGGAAAGATGAAATGAAGAGCCTGAGAATGGGAGGGAAGCAATGGGAGAGGACCACAAGATGCTCTGGGTTTGAGTCTCAGTAACATGATGGGCCTTTTCTTGCTCTGGTAATGGTAAAGGAGCCTTCCACAGGGGTGTAAAATGGCCTCAGTGGGAATGAGAATCTTAGCATCTCTCTGTGAAGGTGGGGTTCACACTGTGAAAATGTAGTAGCAGCAGTGAATATGGATATTACAGTAACATCCAGAGGGCTATGTCGGGATTGGGGCCCCAATGTGTAGGGCCCTGTACAAGCCTTGCCCTGATGTTCAAAAATCCCTGGTCTAGAGAGAGCAAAAGTGACAGGGAGAGCTAGAGAGAGCAGAAGAGCGAGGAGGAGCGCTGGAAAGGGTGGGGATGAATGCATATTTGAAGGACCAGGGAATGTAAAGCAGAGGAGCGCAAACCCCCAATCCAAGGAAACTACTTCATTTGCATCTTCATTTGCATAAATATTTAAAAGGCTTATAAAGGCACACAGCTTTATTGTCTGTTGTTTCTCTCCTCTGAGGATTGGCATTGCTTGCTGTTGGGATTCTAGTCCTGGAGTTCACCATTAAAGACCTGCCCCTGGACCATCATTCCACCGCTGTCAATGGAAAGACTCCCATTGACATCAGTGGGCTTTAGATCAGGCCCTGCACTGCCCTGGAGAGGAAAACCCAGGGCAGCAGTTCAGGATACTTACACGCTGCACTCAGCACAGAGCATCCCACCATCTAAAGCTGTGTCTTACCTGTGCCAGATGGGTGACAGGAAGCAAGGAGACTGAGTCTATGGGCACTTACCACTTATGTGGTAACATGAGGAAGAGCCGGTGAAAAATGTCATTTATTTCCCACACACATTTTCTTCAATTTATTTTTCTTGAAATTTCCCACCATTGTATTTCTTTCCAGGGAGAGGGATGTTTCAATGAAACAGTGAAATAGAAACTTGAAAAAAAATCAGTTATAATAAACAAATACACACCTGTGGCTGCAACTTCGATCCACTGGGATTTTGGAGTCTAAAAAGCAACAAAACAAAAAATCAGATTAATAACCTCTACAAATACAGGAAGAACTTTCTAGCTCTCCATGCAGATGTGTAGTGAGGGGGGAAAGAGTTTTTTGCAGTATTGTTTATGGCAAGTCTCATGACATTTGGTGTTTCTCTTAAACCCCAGCTCCTGGAATCCTGTGATTACATGAGAATCTTAGCTTTCATGTTTTTTTAATAAAAAAATTAAGTTTCTAGCTCTCCAGGATGCAGGGGACATTCCCACCAGTGGCCAAGGAAGCCTGACCAATCAGGTTGGGAGCTGTCCAGGACCCCAGCCGAGCCCCTCTCGATGCTCCTGCTACCATGCAATGGGATGGAGTGCATGCTGACTCTTTCTGCAGCAGATGTAAGCAGCTCTGGGCATTGCAGTCCCAGGCATTGTGCCTCTCCTTGGCTTCTGGCTCATAGCTGGATCTGCTTGGGAGTTTTCTGGATAGAACCAGATTTAATTACGCTAATAAGGCCGAGCCCTCATTGAGCACTGTTTCGTCAGTGGAGTTGAAAGTGCTTTACAAAGGAGGTCAGCATCATTCTCCCAATTTTACAGATGGGGAAACTGAGGCACAGAGCAGGGAAGTGACTCGGGCCAGCAAGCCAGTGGCAGAGCCAGAAATAGAACCAAGGTCTCCTCTGTCCCAGGCCAGTGCTCTGTCTGCTAGACTACACTTCCCCCTGCACTGGGAGTATTTGCAAAAATGTGAGCATACTCTCTCCTTCCCCAGGCCCAAGTGTTTCCACCCTCAGCCCCACTGGAGCAGAGAGGCTGGGGTACTGGGGAAACAACAAGCTCTTCCTTCCAAGAGCACCTGGGTTTGGTGCAGTGCCTGAAAACTTTGTTCATTCAGCTCCCCTTCCACATACACACAAACCTCAGCACAGCACGAGGCCAGCGGGCCTCACAGCTCAGCCGGGACTAAACAGGCCATTTCACCCAAGTGGAGTTCAGCTGGGGAGGGGGCCAGCAGGGAGCTGTGTTTGAAAACCACTGGCAGTGCCAGCTCTTGTTTCTGGTGTAACCGGGACCTGCAGGCCCTTGTCTCCAGCTGTGGAGGGAGCAGCTCCATTCTTGCTAAAAGGCCTGATAACCGCTGATTACCCATTTCCCCACTGTGGCCCAGGCTCCCGCCTGGTCCCAGCGCTATCCTGTAATCAGGGCCAGCGCGGGGGAGCCTTGTTTTCCTGCTGCTCTGGTGATGCTGCACCCAGCGGAGTCTGCAGCTGCGATCTAGAAAGCAGCAGCGCCTTGGCACATGCAAATACAACTGGTGCTTGCTGGTTTCATCATCCGGCGGAGCAGTGGGTGTGAGTGTGAGTCTCTTTTGCTTTCAGTTTCATTTCCTGGTCCTTCGCTCCCTGTGCCTCTCTCCTCCCAGGCACCGCCTCCTCGCTCTTGTTCGCCCTCTTTCCCATTGTGGGACAGCCCCTTGCTTGAACAGCTGTATCCCAGGGCATGGTGGGCTGCCTGCAGAGAGCTGGAGTACCGGACGCTGCTGTTTGTGAGGGCAGGGAACACACAGAAGTTTGACGTCTGCTCTTAGGAGCGTTTGCTTTTAAAATGTGGCCCCCAATCGTCTGACTATCACTCATGCAAATCTCTTCAGTGTGGGCGTAAAGACTGCAGGATGTCCTCCTTGAATTGTAATTTTTAAGACTATACATTTGATTCTGATCCAAACCTCACTGAAGACAATGAGCCATGGTTTGGGATCTTTCAACTATTGTAATTTAAAAAGCATTTAGTTAATCTTTTAAAAGGACATTGTAGGTTAAAAATAATAATGTAAAAAAAAAAAAAAAGTCTGTCCTTGTAATATTACTGCAGCTATGGATTACTACAGTGCAAAACATGTTAAAAGTTCAAATTTATTTTTAGCTATTTGTGCTATTTGTTTGCTTTTGATAAGTCTTTCAGTCAAGACAGTTTCATGTTGATTCCTAGTCAATTTCACTTTCATCTCTGATGGGCAGGTTCTATAGACTGTAATTTCAAATGATAACCTTGTGATAGGGTTTTTTTTTAAGTATTCTATAGAATAGTGAATTATTATTCCTGGTATGGCATTCCATAAGATGGTTAAAAAAGAAGCAGCATGCCAACCCCAACATCCAAAAATCATGAGATTGGCTGAAAATTATTAGATTTTTAAAAAGAATTAATTTTTATTTTCCTTCTGTTTTTCAGCTTTTAGGGATCATATTTTCAAGCTTTTCTCCACAATCCTGAGAGCTAGAAACTTATTTTAAAAAAAAGAAAGAAAGCTGGACTACTCACATGATCACCTGACTCCAGCAGCTAGGGCTTTAAGAAAATTATCAAGTATCATGAAACTCATGCTAAAATAATGAATTGGCAACTATCAGATAGTTTCTATTAAATTATATGGGCCAGGTCCTCAGCTAGTGTAAATTGGCATAGCTCCATAATCTTCAATGGCACTACATCACTTTACACCCACTGAGGTGCTGGTCATAAAGGTTTTTAGAGCTCTTTCTATGGATGTCGGTTCCATTCCTATCTATCCCCATTGGTTTCATCCTTACTAAATTCTGTAGGATATTTCAGTTGGGGAGGTTTCCCACACACTGATGAAATGTTGCAAATTTCAGACATTGTAGAGGACTGTTTAAATCCAAATAAATCCAAACAAAAAGCTGTTTACATCAGAATTTTAAATAATAATTTTTAAATCCTTTGAAACATTCCTCGTTATTGGAGCTGGTCAGACTATGCATTGTAAAGAAATTATGTGATGAATTTAGCCCTTTCTCCTATTCACAGGTCATTTGGGACTCAATGGATGTATCTGTGACCCTGCATTTGCCAAATGGCTTGGCTGAACAATTTTTAACCTCTGAGGGGCTTGCAAACTATTCCTCATTTGCTATTTGTTACTTGTGGCCTGCGAGTCATCACCTCGGTCGCATGGTGGTTCTGCTCCCTGACTGGATCACTGAAACTTTTGTAGAAGGGAGCATAACAAATACATGTGGTGAATAGTAAATAATGAATCATGAGCAGCAAAGAGCTTTATTGCCATGAGTATGTTCGTATGAGGGAGAATTCACCCCATGCTCAGGGCAGAACAAGGCCCGTGCACTGTCTCACTACATTGTTGCCATCCTCCCTTGTGTTTTATCACCAGGAGGAGCCACTTTATACTGCAATTGGGAGCCTCCTGGGCTGCGGTCGTTGTGGGGATGGAACTATGCAGGGGAGGAAAGTTACCTAATTGCCTCAGTGCCTGTGGGATTGGGTACTAGTTTTAGACGGGAGGCAGAGAATGAGGTTAACAGGCAGTGGGGTGAAGCTAGACAAGGACTCCAGCGAGAAGATCACAGAGTCTTGACCTTGGACCACAGAAGTCAAGGAGAGTTTTGTCTCTGACTTCATTAGCAGGAGTATCAAGCTCTTAGGGTGTGAGCCAGCAGGGGCCTGAGCACTCTGGCCTCAGACCTGCAAAGGACTTAAACATATGCTTGACTTCAAGTGTGTGAGTTGAGTACTCCCATTGAGTTCAAGTGGGGTTTGGAACATGCCCATATGGCATGTGCACATCTTGATGGTCCAATAAAAAGTTCAGATAGATCTATAATTTATAATAATTGACTTGGGCATTGCAGAACAAGTGACTCAAACTCATTGTTAATACAGTAGCATACCAATAAGACAGGCAAAACATCAGTATTATACATTATCATTTGGGATCTGCACTCCAAATCTCAGACCCATCTTTGATCTTAACCACAGGGGACCCAAATCTGCAGTCTCCTCGCAGCCACAAGTACTGGGAGGTTTGCTTGGATAAAAAATGTAGGGCCAGGCTCAGGGGTGTATTTTTTTTTTCCACTTTACCCTTTCCTTGGCTTTTCTATGACAGGAATGAGCTGACCAGACAGAGGATGCACTGCGCAAACTCATTGATTTGTATGCATCTGATTGATTCATTCTGATTTGTTATAGGAACAAATCATTCTGCTCACTCCAGGCACTTGGACAAAGAATTTGATACACAAGAAACTACACGACTAAAATTTCAATTTGAACTCCATGCCTGTGACAAAACCAAAGGGATCAACGTGGGGGAGGGATTGCTTCCTATAGCTTTGTGGACAGTCAGCTTGTATGCTGCAGCACGACTCTCTCGGAGACATGAAGATGTCTGTTGATCCAACCTGGGGAGTTCGGGTGTGACACTGGCACCCTCTAGTGTTACTTAATACCAGTCTCTCTTTGTTCCAAGTCTAAGGGCCCAATCCCACAAACACTTAAGTACCTGCATAATTTTACTTGCATGAGTCGCCCCATTGACTTCAATGGGACTACTCACATGAGCAGTTACATACTTAAGGATTGGGCCCCAAAAGTATTAGTTTAAAGGGTTTCACTCAGTTGCTGATGTAGACTGAAATGTGACGGGCTGCTTTCAGCTCGGGCGCTATATTATTTTAATTCTACCTTATTTTATGTTTTACAAACTATGTGGGACATTAATATTTTACACCTGCACAGCCACATTCATCTCAGGCTCTGAAAGCACATTACAAACGTTAATTACCCAACATAAAATTCTGGGAGGTTGGGGATCCATGGGCCCATTTATAGAATCTGTAGCAATGCAATCAATAAATCAGGAGAGGCTAGCAGTTCCTGACCCATTCTTTCTCTGTTTGCCCAGTATGACTGTGTACAGAAAAGGATTTAAGGAGGCAGCACTCCATAACTATTGACACCCAGTCGGATCACTGAAGGAACCTTGAGAGGTTGCTGTGTTACTAATGTACCTCAGTTAAAGAATTCGATGCAGTATTCACACAATCGTTTAAGCCTGTTTAGAGTCCCCTAAATATCTCTTTCTATGAGACGCTATGTATGCAGATTCCCATGGATCTTTTATTGTTTATTGTGTATTGTATTCATGGAGTAGCATTGCATGGCAGGTGTCCCTCTAGGAATGAAGTGTGTATCACACAAGGCAAACCCAGCAAGCAAAATCATAAATACATTGATTTTAAAGTAAGCAGGAACCATTATGATAATCTAATCTGCCGTCCTACATAAAACAAGCCATAGAACCATCCGTCCCCCACTGATTCCTGCACCCAGCCCGATAACATGTGGTCGAGCTAGAGTGAGAGCTAATTAGAACTAGATAACACCATTTCATCACAGAATCATGGCTATTCTGTAACTCTGTCCTGTTCCTGGCTATGCTGAGCCTGTGGGTAATACCTCTACTTACTGTACCTACACCTCCCTCAGGATTGATATACATTAGCAAAAGAGTGCTGCAACAAACCTTCATGAGAAGGCTTTTAATGTGCAACACCATGAAGGCCATTTGTCTGACCAAATCAACCACTCTGAGAGTGTCACAAGCATTGGCTGGATACATGGATCACAATGCTTGTGATCAGGTCTTTGGATTAGGTCTAGTCAAACTAGTGCCATATCCCGGGGGCTAACCCCAGCGAGGCTGGGAAGTCACAAGTATTGCAGGTGCCGAGATTCTGCCTGATTGCAGCATGCTTATCATTTGGAAATTACCCCCAAAGCTTGTGCTTCAAGCACCAGAGCAGTGCACTATGAGGTAGGTGCTGTGGGCATTCCCGGCTGCACTGGGACAACCGCAGTTGGAAGGGGGACTGTGTGAATGGGTGTACACTAAACTACTGCAAGGATAAGCCAGACAACCAATATTTCATCCTTATGTAGGGCTTGATCTAATGTCAATGGGAACACTCCCTTTGATTTCAACAGGTGTTGGATCAGATCCATAATATAGATGTATCCTTGGGTTATGGAACATCCTTAGTAACAAACCATCCTATAGGTCATGGACCATTTTGCTGGGGTGGAGGGACAGGGTGTGCATGTTTCCTTTAAACAAAGCAGCATGCTCTTACAAGCAAGCTGTCTAGAGTGCAGCTCAGCTTTTGGTAAAGACAGTCTAATATTTGTGTGGATGATGTAATATAGTCCATGACTGTGTCACATGAATCCGTGTAAGGTTATTCTGCAGTTGATTGGACATTGGATACAACAGGTTCATCTCATATAAGGGTATGCAATTGTACAATAACTATAAAATAGCAATCAAAACTATGGTCAGCAGAAATACATGATCTCTTTCCTGCAATTAGGTTACGTCTGGGATCTCTGCCACTGGCAAACATAATGCATTCTTCCTGAGAAAAGGCCTTCCTGGCTAGGCTCCAGTGCAGTTCGGAGTGCACCTGTCAGTCTGAGAATCTATTATAATCTTCTTCCTAATTTTCCCCAGCAGATTCAATCAGTGCAACTCTGTTGCCTCTTGTCCTAGACATCTGTTTCTGGGTGTTCTTAACTAGCCGATGCCTTCCATCTCAGTGCAGTGACCCCTGTACAGAATTCAAAAGGCCTGCTGGGTTCCTGGGCAATGCATGATGCTGTCTATACGGGAGACCATGATTATCTATTTAAAATAATGGGACCTGTTTTTTTTAAAATTGTGCTTAGCAAGTGTGCATTTAAAACTCAAAGGGTCATCCAGTAACTTTGCCAAGGAACTGCCTCTTTAACACCCCATTCAAGTCTAGGTCCTGGTGAGGAATGGCAAGTCCAAACATGTACTAGGTGTCCTGCGCAGTCACTGCTGTCTTGTTTTCATAAAGTTCACATGGGCCACCAACATCAACCTTCTCAGTGCGAAGGGGCTTTGAATTAAAATATTACAGAACTAAGTGGTGCTAAGAGGCAATGCCAGAATAACGTGTATTTTTATGTATAATGTGATGCTGTTTCATTAACTGAGCAAAATAAATTGCCTTTCCCAAATGCCCAAAAGTGGGAAGACTCTCTTCAAGAGAGTGAGAGAATGGGGAAGAGAGGAGAGAGAAATGAAAGATTCAGTTCACACATAGCTTCTGCTGTGTGCAAAGGATGAAATGGGCTGGGAGAGATTTTTGATAGTCTGCTCTCTGTTACATGACTCATAAATTCAGTGGAACTGTTTTTGAGATGCATCTGGCATAGGAAAGATGGATTTCACTTCAGCAGCAAGAGATATCGAGCATTAAAGCCATTTTAACCAGTGTGGTTTATAGATCTGGTTCATTTTACCTACAAAGTTAAGTGGGAGGAAAGAACGAAGACTGTAAGGTGAAACATAACATAGTGAACACAAGCACCTGGGGAATGTGTAGGAGGAGAAGCAGCTATGGCATGATCTGCACTGAAATAACAACAAAAGAGTGCTGAGGACCCAGAGACTGTTAGCAATGAGAAACAAAGAAAATATTTGGTACAACTTTCCCAAAAGCAGTCCCAGCAACAGGCTAGTTCTTATTGTTTTGAGTTTGGGGTTTAGTTCAAAATAAATGAAACTCTCCAAACACACACTTTCATTTATAGCTATAATTACATCCAAGGCTTAATGTAAAGAATCACTCCTGGGAACACTGAATTGTGTTCTACAGCTTTTGCAAAAGTTGCAACAAACATTCTCTCTTTCTTATATAGCTATATAGCGTAGATTAAAGCAGTACATGAGACGTTTACAAATCATACAGAACCTGATTCTCCCACTGTTACGCCCATTAAGCAGCAGTTATTCACCCAAGTAGTACAATGGAGTTGACTGTAACTACTCCTGTGTGTAATTGATACTCAACATGAGTAAGGCCAGCACAATCAGGCCCATAACAATCAGTGAGGTAGTAATTCAATATATTTTTTTCGTGTGACCAAAATTCACCTTGGGGAACCAAGTCGTGCGGTCCTTCCTTGGGCAGAACTCCCATTGAGGCCAGTTATTGACTCTGTCACTGGGCCAGCAATTTTGCATGTGCAGTTCCACTGGCTGATAACACAGCACCAACCCGGCAGTCTGTAAGAACATACTTTGTGGTGGGTGGTGCAGAAAAAAGGGCTCATAAGTAGGCAAGGGTTAAGAATTGGGTTTTCTGCTTGCCAGTATGCAAAGTGATGGCCCTAAATGCTTTCATTATACGCAGAGCTTTACAGTGGGGAAGAAGGCAATGAGGTTTATCATATGGTCTTACCGTAGGGGGATGCAGGAAACCAAGACCAAGATAGACCAAGCAGGAGAGCAATACTATCCACTGGGCCACTGCAGACACCAGCTGCAGTCTGTTCCTTCTGACCTGTCTCCTCTCCAACTCCAGCTGCTCTTCCAGCCTTTGGGCCTCCATCTCCAGCATCCCTTCCATCCCAGCCTCCCTGCCACCAACCTGCCAGCCCAACTGGATGAAAAAAAAAAGCCCTCCCCTGCTTCTGCACAAAGGGCAAATCTCTTGAGGGGAATGAAGCAGAAGCAGTTGATGCGCTGTCCCCAAATGAAATGAACAAAGTGTCTTCAGGAGTGGCTCAGGGTTTTATACACACAGCAGCAGCAGCAGCAGCAGCAGCAGCAGCAGGCGGGGAACTTCTTTGTGACTAATCTGAATTTCCCCTTTTCTTTCTTTCTTTTCTTTTTCTTTTTTTTTTCTGGGTGAACGTGGGGGCTGATTTTGTGGCATCCCAGTTCAGTTTTGAGTAAGGACCTGTGAAAATGCATGTGTTTATGTCCTTAATCACTCCATCTACAAGGTCTTTTGCTAGGTGATGATTCAAATGATCATCAACCTTCAGCTAGCCCCTGCGGCCTTCTTCGGATAAAACTCCCATTCAGGCCAATGGAAGTTTTACAGGATTTGCATCCCTGTTGCTTAGCAGTATATACAACACCGGTGTAGCCCATCTGCTGCGGAGAGGTGAGGAATAAATGGGGTCGTGAGACAGGTCAAAGGAAATATTTTCTGCACACACGCTGCACAATTAGCCACTGGAACTCACTGCCACAAGATACCACAGAGCCCAGGAGCTTAGTGGGATTATAAATGGATGTTACGGATAATATAAACATCCATTGTTAGAGTAGGTAACAAAAATAACCAAGAGTTTTGGGAGCAGCATAAATGCCTCCTGCTTCAGGGCAGAAACCACCCACTATGGGCTGCTCTACACTGAAAACGTACATCAGCATAGCTACGCTGTGTCGACCTAACCCCCAGGGTAGCCGTTCTTCTGTCGCCCAAGCTACCGCCTCTCAGGGAGGTGGATTAACTACAGCGCTAGGAGAACCCCTCCCATTGCTGAAGTGCTACACCAGCACAGCTGTAAGCAATTTAAGTGTAGCCATACCCTAACTAATGGGAGTTGTGAAGACGTTTCCTTTGGGTGCAGGCAATCCCATAACTGCCTACTGCAAGGCTCTCCCTGCTTCTCTGCAGCAGCTGGAGCTTGCCACTCCTGGAGCCAGGGTGTGGCGTCAGCTGGGCCATAGGTCTGATGCAGTTCCTATGTATCTGTGCCCAAATGAGTGTGTTTAATCTCCCCTCCTCCAGTTTAGATCGCCGGCTTTCTGAGGCAGGGACTGTCTCTTTTGCTTATTTTAGCACCTTTTGGGGGATCCTCCAAAATAACTCATCAGTATTCGTTTTCATTTGAGGCACTGCATTTTCAGGCAGATTCTCCACCATCAAATCAGCGTAACTTCACTGGAACCCATGGCTCTTTGCAGCAGCCGAGGATTCAGACCTAACACGATTGTACGAACCTGTTTCAGGGATGAGCAGCCAAGGGGCTCCCCCTCGAATGGCCTTTGTTCACCTTTGTCTAGCCCTATGTGCCCAGGAGCACGTGTGCTGCAAAAAGGAGGAGAAAGAGGTGGCAGGCAGCTGTTCATGTGTTTTCCCAGTTCACCAAAGACACTTCCTCATAAGCATAACCACAGGTGGGAGGCGGCTGACAACCAGTCAAGCAAATGAACATGGAGATCCTTTTCCTGGAAGTGGTTAGACTTTATTCTTGAAAATTAGTCTGGGAAGACTGAGAGCTAGCACTAGTCCACAACAAACCAGCTGGTTTTCAGAAACAGAAACAATGCCACAAAACCATGTCACTAGCATGGAACATTTTCGGATTTCAGCAGTTTCTGTTAGTTCTTTTCGCTTGCTGCGTTCTGTGAAGCTTCGTTCTCTTATTTTTTGCGTTATTCTGTGATGCTTCCCCTGGGCATGCTGGTGCCCAAGCAAATGGTTGGCAGCATCTTTCGTTCAGAGTCCAGGTGACAAGCCCAGGAAGCAAACAGAAGCAGCCCCCTGGCTCTGAAGGTATTTCGGGTAAACGGTGGGACAGTTTGGGGACGATCTCTGTGTCCATTTATGAATTCCATTTTGTTTTGTGCCTAGAAATTATGATTGTAAGCCTCAGCGTGGATTAGAGCCTCTGTTGTGTAGCAAGAATGGGCCCCTGAGTGGGCAGGCTACGTCTGCGATGCTGAAACAGGCCCTTCAAGGGGCCGTCGAACCCGAATAGGTCTGCTCTGGTGGGGTTGCTACTGGCAGAGTCATTGACTTTGAACAACTCCCTGCCCAGCAACGGGCAGCAAGTTGGAGCATTGAAAATCCCCCGAGATAGAAAAGGTGTCAGATGCTGCTTTCAAAGAGACGTGCCCCGTAAGCAAAGGGAGCCAGGCCATCACCAGAAACAGAAGACCAAGGTGGAGCAAGGCTTTGTCTTCCCCCCAACACACTGACCAAACCAGGGACTTGCCAGAGCAGGGAGGACTCTGATGGAGGACTGCATTCAGGCAGTTGTTGTTCCCCATATATCTGTGGGTCTCCTGTGCTGGCTGTGGGGATGTCTACACTGGAGCTGGAGCTGCAATTTCCAGTATGGTAGGCATACTCTGATCAAGCTAGTGAGCTAAAACGGGCAGTGGGAAGAGCTAGCCGTCCAAGTACGTACCTAAGGTCTCGGATGGGAATGTGCTCGGGGTGGTTAGCTCCCTCTCGCCGCTCACACTGCCATGGCTACTCTGATATTTATAGCACACAAACTCAGCTATAACCTACCCTAGAAGTGATACCTCGAGCACCAGTGCAGACATACCCTAAGAGCGAACTGGGTGCATTTAAGAAATGCCTTTGCTAAGGGGTTGGAGGGCTGGAGCACCCATGGAAAAAAATTAGTGGGTGCTAAGCTGTTCTGCGGTGTGCAGGAAGCACTGGGGAGGAAGTGGGAGGAGTGAGGATGGGGCAGGAATGTGGTCTTGAAGAAAGTGGTGAAGTGGGGGTGGGGCATGGGGTGGGATGGAACAGGAGCAGGAAGAGGCAGGGTGGGGCCTTGTGGAAGGGGTGGAGTGGGGGTGGGGCATGGGATGGGGTGGAACAGGGGCAGGAAGAGGCGGGGTGGGACCTTGGGGAAGGGGTGGAGTGGGGGTGGGGCATGGGGTGGGATGGAACAGGGGCAGGAAGAGGCGGGGTGGGACCTTGGGGAAGGGGTGGAGTGGGGGTGGGGCGTGGGGTGGGATGGAACAGGGGCAGGAAGAGGCGGGGTGGGACCTTGGGGGAAGGGGTGGAGTGGGGGCGGCACCTGGGGTGGAGCAGGGGCCTGAAGAGGCGGTAGGGGTTTAGGGGAAGGGGTGGGTCTGGGGGGCGGGGCCCGGGGCTGAGCGGGGGTTGATCACCACTGGGCAAAGGAGGAAGCTGGCGCCTGTGACCAGAGCATCCAGAGCAAGGTGGGCTTTGGAGAATGTGCATAAGTGACTGGGGAGATATAGGAGGTTTCAGCTTCAGGGTTTATGGCAGCTAGACTGCAGAGTCCCTCGTCCCAGGAAGGGCACCAGACGAGAGTGCTGACCTGGGTGAGTGCCATAGGTGCTGCCACGCGAGAAGCCGTGACTGGACTTAGGCCAGACCCAGCTGGGTTGGAAGCACATGGGGTCTAAGAGTTGGGTCCAATTACAGCAATCTGGTGACTGTCCACCAGGGGGACTCAGCCAGGTCTGTGACACGGGCAGGGTGCTCACAGTGCACACCACGTCTGGGGCAGGACAAGAAATAGCTGGGCACACCAGGAAGGATCAAACAGAGAATGCAGCAGCACCAGCATCATAGGTCCAGAGCAAAAGCACCCACTATTGCTCACAGGGGTGCTGCCCTCGACTAGCAGCCAGCAGATGCTAGTGTAACACCGACAGACCCTGGTCATCGGCAGGCAGGATCGAACCTGGGACCTCTAGAGCTTAGGGTATGAGCCTCTACTGCATGAGCTAAAAGCCATCTGCCTGTTAGCTAAGGCTGTAGAGCAGATTCATTTTATCTCTCTCTTTAAGTGGTCTCAGTGCCACTAGATGGGACAGAACACCACACCCAGCAGGTGTATGGCTTACACTAGCAAGAGCATTTTGAAGAGACATAAATTTATTGCTGACCACAGCCTGTGTGAAGGAGCTGGCTGTGGAGATGCTATGGCAGGTGAGGACTTCAGGGCATCTGCTGCTCCCGCAGCTGTGACTCCGAGGTAGACAGGACCCAGTCAGTCCTTATTCCGCAAGAGGGCCATGCCAGAGCCATGTCTTGCTGTGCGGAAGGTGGTTTGTGATGCCTGAGCTGATGGAAGACACCGCTCCCACCGCAGACACATAGGCCTGTGATCAGACCACAGCCACCTCTCAAAGCACACTGGCCCAGCAGCAGCCACCCTGGCAGTCAAGGAGGAGACCAGTAGCTGGCAGCAACTGGGAGCTGTTACTGGGGAGCAGTTGGAGCCCCATTCCCAGTGGCTTTGTGGCTACAGGCAGCAGGGTCAGGATCACAAAGGCAGTGCATGACGGGGGGAAACTCACACCTTGTCTTGCCCACTGACTCAGCCTTGTTGTTGAGAATGCCTGGACAGGGACGGGGAATGATCTGTGGCCACTTCAACTGGTCTTGCCCAGCTGTGAAAGAGTCATCTTGTTCCCAGATGAAGCAGGAGGTGGTGACAAAGTGGAATTCTACCTTCCACATGCTAGCCCGATTGTATGAGCATAGAGCTACCACCATGCAGGACTTCTGTGTCCAGAGATCTGCACAGGTGCAGTCAGACACCAGCCCGCAGATGACCAACAACATAGAAGCCAGGAGCTAGGATTCACAATGTGACAGAAAGACTCATCAAGCCTTCGGATTGCTACCCCTTCCTGCTTCTCCACGTGGGCACCAATGATACTGCCAAGAATGAGTTTGAGCGGATCACTGCAGACTACTTGGCTCTGGGAAAATGGATAAAGGAGTTTGAGGCGCAAGTGGTGTTCTCGTCCATTCTCCCTGTGGAAGGAAAAGGACCAGGAAGAGACCGTCGAATCGTGGAAGTCAATGAATGGCTATGCAGGTGGTGTCGG